AGAAGGAATTTACTATTATTGCAGCAACTAATGACTCACATTTAAAAGCACGTAAGGAATTGGTTGATTACCAGTTCTCTCCCAACAACTCCCTTTGAGAATTTACTCAAGATTGTTGAGGTCTCCAATGACTAGAAGAGGGCAATGGCCTTAAAGGTGAAGCCAAAGGGTTGTGGCTACACATTATGAAGTGATATTTGCTGTTAATGGAAATTCCAGACTATTTTGTCTCTGATTTTTAACAATTGCATAGTCAGTAAATTGTTTTAGTTGATTTGATTGTGGAGATACCTGAAAAGCCTTTCTTGTTATGTCATTGTTTCCACTGACCACTTTACTTGGTCTTTTGTTCGTGGTTTTACTTTACAAGGTAGGTCAAAGCACATTTTCAGTCAAATTGTTGATGTCACTCTTTTCTATCTTACTTCTAGAGGACACAGCTTCAGCTACAGAGCATTTATTGGATAACATAGAAATTCAAGCCCAAGTAGAATCCTGATATACCAGACAAAATGCTACAGCACAGGGATCATCATGGGAAAATGTTTCACATTTACATTTTTTAAGTTTCTGTGGCTTTGTAGTCCAAAATGTGAAACATTTCCCCATGATGATTCCTATGCTGTAGAAGTAAGACATACTATGATCACATTCTTTACTAATCTTTAATATCAAAATTTTTGAAAATTGACTATGTTTTATCAAATTTAAATGATAGTTGAGCACCATCTAATTCATGCTACATGTTGATAGAAATTCAAATTCTGTTTCAGGAAGTTAATAATGAAAGATTGTGTTCACTTTAACTGAGCCTTATTCTAAAATGTGCTTATCTTGCTGCAATATAAATCTGCTAACAAATGAGCAAAGTGGTTGATCTCATTTGTGCCTTTTAGATCATAGTTCAAAAAAATTAAGCAAACAAGGTAACAAAGGTAAAACAAACATAACCTTTATTAGCTTTTAACAACCAAGAGTAAGAAGCTGGAACCATATTCAGTATTTTAATCAGAATACCTTAAGTTTCATGGTCTCATTTAAGATTTTATAGTAATGGACTGAATATTCTAAAAATGTAGCAATGGACTACTGGAAAGTAGTTGTAATAGAGAGCAGGTTCTGGAGAATTCTGTCTGACAGAATTCCAAATACTGTTTGCTTTCAGCAAATAAACTGGTTAAGATGATATCATAGGGTTTTTTTGTTTTTAAAGTTCAAGTTATTTTGCTATAAAAGGAAATTTTGTTTTTGTTTTTAATATTCTATTGCTTCTTAGAATCGCTTTTTATACATATTAGGATGGCAATAGAACAGTCAAGATTTTAAAATTATCTCAAAGGTTCAAATAATTCTCAAGATTCCAGTTTACATATAAAACTCTATATTCCTTAGCATTCATTCAAACATGATTATTGGAAACAAACATCTCTCATTTGAGAACATGGATTAAAGAGAAGTTTTCTCTCTGATCCAAGGGAAAAGGTATGAATGAAACCATTTTTCTCTAAGCATATAAAAAAATCAGATGACACAGAGGACTGAGCCAGGAGTCAGAAGATGCAGATGTGACTTCAGGGAAGTTGTTTTCCCTCTAAAATCCCTTCCAGCTCTCTGATTCTAAGGTTAAAACATTTCCTTGGAGCTATACAAGCTGACCCTAAATTTTCATTTTTCTACACAGTACCTGGTAAGGTTTTTTTCTTTTTTAAGTCAAATATTAAACTAATTGATACAAACCCTGCCCTGCATATCTGTATGACAACTAATTTAATAGAGATAGCATGTTTTTCATTCCTTCCACAAATCATTTAGAGCTTCCCGTGTTCAAGGGACGGAGCTCCGGTGGTGCAGTGGTTAAGCACTGGCTGCTAAACTAAAGGTGGGCGGTGCAAGCCCACCAGCCACTCTGCAGGAGAAAGACCTGGCAATCCGCTCAGGTAAAGATTACAGCCTAGGAAACTTTGTTCATTCTACTGACCCCTATAGGGTTGCTATGAGTCCAGTCGACTTCATGGCACACAACATGTTCAAGAAGACGCGCTAAAACAAACCTACAACATTGTGATTGTCACTGCCCCCAGGAACAAATTACTACCTGAAACCCTGGACTAAGGGGACTGTTTCAAGAGCTTCAGACCCAATCTCAGGCACATGACAAAACCGGGAAACACCTAGTATTCTACTTGCTCCTTGGTCAGGGCAGTGATCGCCAAGCTTAAAGGAATATAAGAATCTCTACAGGAGCTTAGTAAAACGCAGCTTCAAGGGCTTTAGGCTTATTGTGTGAAGAGTGTCTGGGGATGGTGCCTCCTAACCCATATGTTCTCCTCTAGCCCTCCACGCCTCTGCAGGTTACCTGTAGGCCTCACTCCATACCTCCCTATCCCACCCCTCCAAAAAAAAAGAAAGAAAAGAAAGAAAGAACAAGAAAAGAAAACCACTGCATTGTAGTGGCAAAAACTCTAGACTCAAGAGTCAGGAGCCAATAACCAGCTGCTTGATCTTGAATGAGTTATTTAACATCCGACAACTCCTTATTGGATGGTCTCAGTGTCTCCATCGGGTAAGAAGTTGAATAGGAGTCTCTACCCTCCCTTCTGCTCTTACATGTTACAGAGTTTAAGAACCTAATGATGGGGAAATGTCCAAGGATGTTTCACTCTGCAGTCCAAACAACCCAGCAAGAATGTTTGGCAGCCCCAATTCGGTGGGATTCCTTTCTTTGGCCCTTCATTCCCAAGAAGTGGAAAAGTGAGGCGAGGCTGCGGTTGTGTGAGAGGGGAGAAGAAGAAAGCCAAAAGAAGCTT